TTAATGTAATAATTGATTAATAATAATTGTTTAAATTGATATCATAATTGATACAACTCGTCCATTTACTTAAAAATTTATATTAAATTTTTTGTTTTGTGAAAACCTGTAAGTCATGCTTTTTACAGTCATTTTACAGTTTAATATGTTACCATAGTCATTGCCCTACTGCGCTCATATGATATTTTATTTGTGCAGGTCTTAAAAAATGTCTTAAGTCTTACATTTGAGTTTAAAAATCCTGCAGATACTGACTTTAAGATGACTTAAGGGAGCTCTTTCGGTCCCTTAAATTTATTAAGGTGAAATGGTTACTAAGGACTTTGTAGCAACACTTAAGGGAACACTTAAATAATTAAGGGGAATACTTAATGGCAGCCTTAAGGTTCCTTAAGTTGACCCTTAGGGTTTTTTCTTGCAACCCAAGTTTCACTAAGGGCTCCCTTAACCTTATAACTAAGGGATTTCTTAGCTTAAGGGCTTTCATGCAACCGGGCCCTGACCTCCTGTCAGCAGATATGAATCCCTCAATGCTAAACGCCACATTATCTGAACATGTTTCTTGAGCTCTCAGATGTTTCTTACAGTAGTGAAGATCCGGATGAAGACTGATTGCGCAGTGTTTCATTTATCCCTCTGTGTCTGCAGTGCAGAAAAACTACTGAGCTTGTGGTTTTTGGGAATTCTTACTGTAGCCCAATGCTTAATTTTCCACCTGGCATTCTCATGAATAGAGTTCAAATGGTGTTGCAATATGTTTTTGTATTGCATACATTCCAGTAAAGGGAAATAACACCATGTTCCTTTAGAGAGAGGATGATTACAGTTTCTATGTTTGGATTCAGACTTTATACTTACACTTATCAGTGTGGATGCTGGTGTTTCAACATTATATTTTTCCACTTGTACTCATTCTGTCTCTCTGACCTGTGACTCATGTAGTCATGTTGTGTTTATGTAACCCCTCTCCCCCGGGTCCTCACCACCACACCTCGTTCTCGTTCCGAGTGGGTCTCGAACCCGGGTCTCCGGCATGGGAGGCGTGCACACTAACAAGGAGGCTAAAGACTGCAGCCTCTAGCGTCAGTCGCTAGTGCGTCTCTTGAGATCAGGGGAGTGAGGTTTACCTGCACAACACCTACCGCTGGCCTCCGTTACACTCGCACAGCACCTACCGCTGGCCTCCGTTACATTTATGTATATTGTGTTTGTTACATTGCTTGTTTTGTTTATTTTGTTCAACTGATGTATTTTTCTATCATTAATATATATTAATATATTATCATTAATATAATATTAATATTAATATAATTAATCTTTGTTGTTTTTGTAAGCATTTAAAGTAGGGTTGCACAATTAATTGAAGTAAAACTGAAATCGCGACATTAGTGTGATTATCAAATAACAAATCTATGCACAAAGTGAAGCGCAGCACTGTGTTCATTTACACGTGAGCAGCTCATGATCCGCCAGTGTTTTTTAGCATCTCAGAGTGACTCAATTCACAATAAATGAACCACTTGAGCTCCAAGAACATCTGCTCTGAGTTTGAGTTGCTTTAGCATGCATTTGGGAATGAAACATGCAACAACCATCTTCACAAACTTTTAGTGAGAAGCGCTTATCAAGAAAAGAAAAGCTTTCAGGACCCTGTGCAGTTTTTCTGAAAATACAAAAGCTTGATTGTTTTTATTACATAATTATTATATTATTTTTCATAAATACTGTAACAATACTTGCAATAATAATATTTCTTATTTTGTTTAATATTTTCATTTAGTCATAATTATATTCATAATAATATTATAGAAATATTTATCACATTGATATTATCATATTGATTTACAATCAAAACATTTTGACCCCAAAAAAATACATGCATTTTTAAAACACAATTGGTTCAGAAAAACTGCAATTAGATTTTCCCCCAAATCGTGCAGCTATTTTCAAGGCATATTTTGGCATCTCCGTACCTCAAGTGGTCTAAAATTGGCTAAAAGAATTCTAATTTAAACGACATTCCACTAAAACTGTGACGTTATTTAATTAATAATGATTAGTGCGGATGGTGAATGAATTATTTGATTCCCTCACTCTCCTAGACAGAAGGAACAGCAGCAGAAAGGGCTGAAAGAGCTTGAACCAATGTGAATATTGCAGTGTTGAACTGCATCTATATTTGGAGCTAAATGGTGCGAGGTGAACACAAATGTTATGTTGGGTTATGATGAGGGTTTGTGCTAATGACCCATGCTGAGGCTGAAAAGTTCTTTAAGAAAGCTTACATGTGGGCGACTCAGACTATATATTCCCTCTATAATTTAATGCATTTCCTTCTATAATTATCACTACTGTCAATTGTCTTGTCTTTTTCATACCCCGCATTGAAAGTATTCATTATAAAGTGAGAGCAATGCAATTTTCAACCTGCTCTTGTTTTAAAGAAAAAGAAAAAAAAAGACAGAACAAAACAGTCAGAAGGCTACACTTGCTAGATTTTCACTCATTTAAGCAGTAATTACTTGAATGAGGTGTTTAAGATGACTGCTGGTGAAGCCAGATTTCTGAGGCAAAGAATGCATGGCTGAAAATACCAACCACTTCTGGCGGTTCATTAAACTATTCCCACAAAACTACATCTAAATCAGGAAATGTTATTGCCAATTAACAGAACGTTCCACTGGCTTTAAAACTATAATGCAAACAATAAAACCACAGTCAGTGAATGGGACTGTCTTTTACACAGAAAGGAGGTGGTTACCATCTACACTTTGAATGCATACTGTAATCTATTTTCATGAAGCGTCATGTAGTTCCAGACATTTGATTTTGCCAGAAAACACAATTTCAGTCCGCTGGTGTATTTGTTCAAGCGATTAAGCTGTAGGCCGAGAGGGAAAGTCGTGACACGAGTGAACTCACAGTAAACTAAAGTAAACACCTTCTAGAGTTACAGCGTTCAGTAACATGAGCGTCAGGGAATCTGTGTGGTCCGGTCTCATCTCAAACGCTTCAGGTATTCAGCAAAGAAAGGGGGGCATGAACTTGGTGCCAATTCGTAAAATTCTTTTATTTATAAGAATCAATTACTTGGAGGGAAAACGGGCTGCTTGTTAAATCTCAACAGAGAGTGCCTCTCCTGTGGAGCGTCTGATAATGAGACCACACAGAGAGCATATCCCGCTCCTGACATACTCCGGATCCTCCCTAACGCATCAGACGGCGGATGCATGAGAAACGTATGAGACAGCGTCGGATATCCAGCTACTGAAAATACATGTGACGCTACCGAGAGCTCTTCAGTCAACCTATCTGCCAATACAGTAAACAGTTATGGCAAACCTATGACAATGATATCGTGCAACAGCCTCTTTGAAGCCCAATGACGTGAACAAACTCACTCTCAAACTACTTAAATATTTGTGTATTTTTGCATTTAAAGTTTTTTTTTCTATGTGCATAATATCTTTAAATTAATAGTTTTATATTTCTCCATCACATGATTCACTGGACTAAAGCCGTTAAGCCATTTTGTAACCTTCGTCTTTTTGTCTGATTTTCAAATACTTTTTTGCTTCAAATCAAACTTTGTAATGTTGTGTTTCACCTGGTTTGGTTTGGTACATGGCTTATAAACAGAGACATAAAAACAAAACAAAACTATGGGAAAAGTGAATGGGAAAAAAAAAATAGTTTCAGAAAGGCTGGTCGCTGTTGTACTCGATAACTTTCTCAAGTCAAATGCAATTATTCATGAAATATAAAAATAAACCAAAAACTCGCTAAATGCCAGTTACCCAAATAAATCTCTAAAGACGATTCCCTGATCCTGTGTTCATAAAGATTTTGAAAATATTTTTGAACAAAGTCTCTTTTGCTTACCAAGGCTGCATCTATCTGAACAAAAATACAGTAAAAACACTAATATTGTGAAATATTATTACAGTTTAAACCAGCTGTTTTCTATGAGAATATCAACTGTAATTGATTTCTGTGATCAAAGCTGTATTTTCAGCATCATTACTCCAGTCTTCAATGTCACATGATCTTCAGAAATCATTCTAATATGCTGATTTGCTGCTCAAGAAACATTTCTGATTATTATCAATGTTGAAAACAGTCGTGCTGCACAATATTTCTGTGGAAACTGTGATACATTTTATTTTTCAGGATTCACAGATGAACAGAAAGTTCAAAAGAACAGCATTCATTTGAAATAGAAATCTTTTGTACTGATTTGAATTTTTTCTTACTAATTAAAAATATACATTTCCTTTCTTAAAAGATCTTACTGACCCCAAATGAATGGTCAAATGTAATGGTTAAATGTATAGCTCAGACACTCCAAATGAAGAGTGTTCAGGCTGTAATATTTGAAAAGATGAACATGTATCTGATGTGTAAATCATGACTCACATGCTGCGTGAGGAGGCTGATGTGACTGGATGTGCTGTACTGACGAGCCGCCTGTTTCTCCACTAGTTTGCGCAGAGCAGATACGATGGCCAGCTGGTTGGACTGCGCCTGGGCCGACAGCGAGTCCGTCTCTTTCAGCAAACCAGCAGAACCAGGTCTGGATTTACTCAGACTGGGCTTCTGACTCACTGTGGGACAGAACAGAGATAAACTGGAAATAAAGTATGAGAAACATAATCCACATGCACACATTCGGTGAAGGGGAAGGTTATCAGTTTTAAGTGGATTAATTAATTAAGATTAATTACTTTACAATTAATCCAGAACGTGGCAGCAAAGATTAATCTTTAATGAGCCGAAAAGAATGCATGTCACACCTCTGTTTATCAATTTGCACTGGCTACCAATAGCTGCTCACATAAAATTCAAGGCATTAATGTTTGCCTACAAAACCACCACTGGCTCTGCACCCCTTTACCTAAATTCATTACTTCAGACTTATGTGCCTCTAGAAGCTTGTGTTCTGCAAGTGAACGGCGCATTATTGTTCATCCCAAAGAGGCACAAAATCACTTTCACAGACTTTTACATTAACTGTTCCCTCCTGGTGGAATGACCTGCCCAACTCAATCCCAGCAGCTGAGTCCTTAGCCATCTTCAAGAAACGACTAAAAACACACCTGTTCCATCTTTATTTGACCCTCTAACTCTAGCACTTTCTATTCTAATTCTATTCTTTAAAAAAACACCCCTTTTAGACTTGCACTCTATTTATTCACTAACTGCTTGTTTTCTTTAAAAAAAAACTAACACTAGCTTTTCTAATTTTTTGTATTCTATCTGTTTTCTTTTTTATCTATTATACAATTGACAAAAGCAAAAAAGGCCTCTAACACTAGCTTGCTCTATTCTTTTCCTATTCTATCTTTTTATTTTAAATTTTTTTTTTTCGTTTTCTTTTTATTTATTATACGATTTAAAAACCCTTGCTACATGTACTGCGTTAAGCTAACTGAGACTTGTTATAGCACTTGCATATCATTGCTCTTTTGTTGTTTTTGATTGCTTCCATTGTCCTCATTTGTAAGTCGCTTTGGATAAAAGCGTCTGCTAAATGTCTAAATGTAAATGTAAGTGGTCAGATTACCGTGTACTGCGGAGGACGGCCGTGCTGATCTCTGGATGGAGAGGTGCGTGGCTCTAGGTAGGACACAGGTAGGATGGATCGGTCGAGATGTTTCTTGGGCAGCTGTTGATGCAGTAGATTCACTGCGTGCAGAGGCCCATTTGACACACACAGACGAGCTGTTGACCAGTGGATGTGGCGGCGGCTGGACGTAAGGCGGCGGGAGGCAGTGCTGTAAGACGATGTGTTCACACTCCAGAGCTGCAGCGTTCGGCTGATCGCCGCCTGTTCTCTTGTTTCTGACAGCAGAAGTGTGAGTCTTGCTTGCTCTTGATTCGGTCTCTGCAGTAGTCGAAGGATTGGGTAGCACTTCAATAGCGGTGCAGTCTCCACTTTGGCTTTTCCTTTGGATGTGTCCATTTTGCAATGAGTTGCATTTGGTTTTGTTACCATGTTTAGTTGCACTACAGTTTTCTGTGCTTTGGGTTAATTTACTTTGGCCCTGGTTTCCGGTTTGAGCTGCAGTACTGTCTGTGTTTTGGATCTTGCTGATTGCATCTGCATTGTCTAAACCATCAGAGGCGTCTGTGTTGATACACGCAGCTGCTTCAAGAAAGAGAAAATACATGAGTTTGTTATTATCAGGAAATTATTACATCCTGAAAGACAAACATCTTTCTTGCAAATCTTGCAAATTGCCATAGCGGACTCAACTGTATCACCAACATTAACCAAAATTTACAGAATCTAAAAAACACATTAGTGATACTAATAAATAAATGATCCTGATCACCCTGTTGGGATATATTTCACAATCATGACTGGCTGTACACTGGCTTCTACTTATTACATTTTAACATGCACGTTTACAATTACTAGCTTATTTTATGAGGAATTGTCATATAACTGCACTATTAATCATCATTTAAGCAATCATAAAACACTTTCACAAAGTTAGTATATGTTTACAGTACTTTACAACTATGTTATGTTGGTATTAAGATCACAATAACTTAGGGCTCTGTTTACTTTCATTTATATTTCATGCTCTGAAAAAAAAAATGTTGTAGAAATAATGTTTACCCAGAAATTGCTAAATTTCACAAACAATTACAAAGAAACAGCAAGTGTGTAAAGTGTGAATGCTGGAATCTGGAGACGCAAGCTTAAGCAAATGTGTTTCATCTGCTATCAACAATCACGTTTGGAGAAATATGACCTGCAAATTTACACAGCACTAATGCATTTCACGAAAAGAGGGTCTACAAGTTACAGACTCTTCTAAATTGTTATGAAAGTCTTTCCTTTAGGGCAGGGGTGCCCAAACTCGGTCCTGGAGGGCCGATGTCCTGCAGAGTTTAGCTCCAGCTTGCCTCAACACACCTGCTTGGAAGTTTCTAGTATGCCTAGTAAGACCTTGATTAGCTGCTTCAGGTGTGTTTGATTAGGGTTGGAGCTAAACTCTGCAGGACACCGGCCCTCCAGGACCGAGTGTGGGCACCCCTGCTTTAGGGTTTATGTTGCTTTTTATTCAAGAAAACATCGAGTGACCAGGGGCTGTCAAGGCACAAAAAAAGACCAAAACGCCATAAAAGAACCATGTAACAGTAGTACATATGCATTTGATTCTTCTGCAGAACACAACAGAAGGTATTTTAAAGAACCTTGGGGTCCAAACAGCATTGGAGCCCAGTGACTTTAAATATAGGGCCTTTCGCACCGCTTTAGTTCCAGAACTAAATGTACAGTACTAAAGTACTGGGACTAACTATTTCCCAGTACCATTTAAAAGGATGCATTCGCACTGACAGTGTGTACTAAGAAGAGACGTAAGCTGGTCGACAGCGTCGTCATTTGTGCGCGGCATTCAACAACAGAAACAAAGAAGAACAACGTTAACAACAGGAGGATGGAGGACGCTGTGATCGGAGCTGT